ACACTTGCTCACATCTGTGGGTTAACATTTGAACTCCTGCTCTTATAGCAATATAAAATCTACGACGGGACTAAATCCAATAGCAAAAATAGCATCTACAGAGCACGCTATGGGGTCAGACTCCGGGACCAAGCGAGATGGAAATGCAAATCCTAAATGGCTTACAGACGCTTCCGAATGCATCTCCGGGATGAAGTGTCAACTTGCCAGCATTAGGGGCTTGATCCATTGCCCATTGAACTCAATGGGTTTCCACTGAGTCCAACAGGAGCTGGATCAGACTCTGATTCAGGGCTGATGGGCATGGGGGCCTGTTGTTTAGTTTCCTGTGTGTGTGTGCGCACATGTGTGTGTGTGTGTGATGTTTTGCACAACTCAAGGGACAGGTGTCACTTGTTAACTGGGGTGTGGGGTGCTGGCAGCACAGGTGCAGCCCATAGGGGAGAAGGCAAGACTGGGATGGAAAGTGGGTCCGGGAATTAACTATACTGATAAGGGTCACGCTAACAACCTTCCATTACAGCGTGAAGAGGGGTGTGAGCACAGGACCGGGAGCCGGGGACAAGCATGGAGCCTGGCCCTGCAGCTGGTTTCATGCTAGCTCTGAGCAGGCCGGGGTTCTCTGTAACACCTCCAATGGGGATCTGGCCTGTGAAAACAGGACACACACAAAACCTTCCTGACCTTTGTGCTGGGGTCACTATCCCTGCTGCCCTGTCACGATACTGCAGGGCGTTTTGCTGCCCAAGGGGGCGGATGGGGATGGAGCAGCCGGAAATCAGAAAGGCTGCAGCCTCAGATAAATCCCAGCGCAAAGAGAGGGAGCTGGGGAGGATTCACATCAGCTGCTGACCCCATTCCCGGTGCTCCTAAGGAGCCGAGAAATCTAAGGGGATTCGCTCCAATCCGTTGCTCCCCTGGCAGTATAGTCACTTGATCATGATATCCACCTGACACCCCGCATATCTAGCCCATCTACTGCCCCAATCCTGCAACATGGAGCATGCTGGCCTGGCGAAGTCAATGGGTCTTGCCCTGGACACAGCTGCCAGCTTGCCAGAGGCAGGATCAGGGCCCCTCCCTCTCTCTGCTGGGGCAGCCTGACTGTCCCATTTGCACTCTGTGGCAGCCGGACATCAGTTGCTTGCTGTTTGGGGTGAAATTTCTGTTTCCCTGAGCTCCGCAAAAGCCAGCCAGGTTTTTCACTCTCTGCCTCAGTCCTTTGCAAAGCAAAAACCTGGGTGTGTATTACCAAGCAGCAGCAGATTCCAGCAGAATTATTATTTTCCCTGGGAGAGGCAATGGAGGGATCTTGTATTACCCTCTAGTGGTGCTCTGAAAGATTTCCAGATACTTTATTTAATAGCAAGGTAACTACAAAAGCACCAAAGTATGTTAGTACCTGCCTGCCGTGCTGTGTTTTTGCATATACAAGCCCTGATTCTGCAAAGACTTAGGGACCTGGTTAACTTTACTCATGTGAGTCATTGGGATTACTTGTGTAAGTAAAATTAAGCACATAAGTGATTGCAGCATTGGGGCTTTGAGGTAGGGTTGCCAACTGTGTAATCACACAAACCCAAACACCCATGCCCCGCCCCTTTCTTGAGACCCCGCCCCTTATCTGAGGCCCCGCCCCACTCACTCCATCCCCCTCCCTCTGTCACGCAGTCTCCCCCACCCTCACTCACTTTCACCAGGCTGAAGCAGGGGGTTGGGGTGCGGGAGAGGGTGTGGGCTTGGGGCTGGGGCTGAGGGGTTCGGAGTGTGGGAGGGAGCTCTGGGCTGAGCCTGGGGCAGGGGGTTGGAGTGCAGGAGGCGGTGCAGCGTGCAAGGTCTGTGAGGGAGTTTGGGTGCTGGAGAGGGCTCAGGGCTGGGGCAGAGGTTGGGGTGTGGGAGGGGGTGAGGGGTGCGGGCTATGGGAGGGAGTTTG